CCTCCTCCACCCCCTCCTCCTCCTCCTCCTCCTCCTCCTCCTCCTCCTCCTCCTCCTCCTCCTCCTCCTCCGTCTTCATCTCCTCCTCCTTCCTCCTCCTCCACTTCCTCCTCCTCGTCCTTCGAGATGATCAGCCTGACGCTTACCCACGTCCATCACAGCAGTCCAACTGTCCCCTCCCGATCCCTTGCTTGTCCACCTCCATCTGCCTGCCCATGTCCTCCTCGTTCCTCATGTGCCTCCGCCTACCCCCTTTCCCTTCCTCCTCCCCCCCCCCTTATCCCCCGTCCCAGTTACATACCCCCTCGCTCTTCCCTCCTCTCCCTCCTCTCTCCCATCCTCCTCCCCCTCCTCCCCCTCCCCCCTCCCCCTCCCTCCTCCTCCTCCTCCTCCTCCCCTCCTCCTCTCCTCCTCCTCCTCCTCCTCCTCCTCCTCCTCCTCATGGTCCTCCTCCTCCTCATCTGTCCCTCCCTGTTGACGCGCCTGGTCCGAGTGGTTTTCGGATTATACCTCGGGCATCTGGCAATAAAACTTGCACGCTTCGGGCACCCCGGGAACGCTCTCGGCCAAGCGCCAGGTGCCAGAGAGCCTCCGAGGCCGTATACCGCCCCCGAGGAGCCGACGGTAACGCGCCGAACGCCTGGGGCCCGATCCAAACTCGGGGATCTTCTGAGCGAGGTCAATCCAGACCCGGGTCTGCAAGAAACCAAACAACTGCAATGCAAGAAACAAAAACTGCAACGCAGGGCTTCGAAAACCCGGGTCAGCCGATATGCGCGGTCGCCTCGCGGCCACGAGCGGCTCGCTAACCCGGGTCAGCCACAGGGGGTCGTCGCAGGATCCTGCAGGATGCGGTGCCCTGGCTGACCCCGGTTTGCACCGACCCCCGTCTCCTGAGCCCCGACAAACCCCCCACCGCACGGGCCCGGCGGGCCGCGGAGAGCGATGGCGCATTCAGCAGCTCGAAGGCGAAGGCCGCCAGCTTCTGGTGACCTCGCTGCCGCCGCGGGCGCGGCGGGCGCAGCAGGCGCAGCGAGCGCGGGCGCGCGCGCGCGCGGCGGCGTGCACGTGCTGCGGTGGCGCACGGCGCTCGTGCCCGCAGTGGCGCGAAGGCGACGGCAGCGGCAGCGGCGGCGGCGCGCGTGCGGTGCTGGCGGCGTGCGCGGCCGGGCGGGCGCCGCGGCGCCGCGGCGGCGGCCGTGCACGGCGCGGGGAGTAGTAGCGAAGGACTCCCGAAGGAGGGCCGGGGGGCAGCAGGGGGGAAGCCGGTGGTGGCCCAGGCTGGCACCCTCCTGCCGCAAGCTCGCCGGGGGTCCCTCGGGAGCCATCCGGGGGACATCCTGGGTTTCGCCGGGGCCTCGCCGGGCTCTCTCGGGTCGTCTGTCTCGAGGCCTTCGGCAAATCTTTCCCGAAAGCAGGGTACTTTTTCTAGAATGATCTGGAGGCGTTTGGCCCATCCCGCCATCTTGCTGGGATTGTGCACCAACGGCTGTTTGAATGCCTGTAATCACGGCGGTCGTCGCCGCAATGGTCGTCGTGGTCGCCGTGATCATCGTCATCGTCGTCTTGGTTGTCATCGTGGTCGTGGTCGAAGTGGTCGCCGACGTCGTGGTCGTCCTCACCGCCGTGGTACTCGGGTGTGCTCGTCGCGTTCGTCCTCGTTGTCGTCATTGTGGTCGTCGAGTTTGTTCGTCATCGTCGTGGACGTAGGGGTTGTCGCTGCGATGGTCGTCGCCGCCGTCGTCGTCGTGGTCTTGCTGGCTGTCGTCGTCCTTTTCGTCGGTCTCGTCGTCACTGACGTCACTGATGTCACTGGCTGCGCAATGGTGGGCCAGGCCGTTTCCCGGTAAACCTTTCACGCGCCCACCAGAAGTGGACAAGCATCTATGCTCACTGGGGCCCCCTTGGGCCGCCTTGGGGGTTTTCTTGCGCCGCCTTGGGGACTTCTCGGGCTGTGCCGGGGCCCTTTTGGGGGGGGGGCTCGGGGGCGGACATGGGGCGACCTGGGAGACCCCTCGGGGCCGCCTGGGCCGTCTTGGGGTGCTCTTGGGGGGCGCTGGGGCCGCCAGGTAGCCATCCCTGGCCATCGCTCGGACGTCCATTCCCTGTGCTTTTTTCGGTTTCGTGCGTGGTTTTTTTCGCCAAATGATCAAGGATGCTCCTCGATGGTCCTCGCCGAAGGAAAAATGCACACGTCCAAGCAATGCCACGATCCTGGTCACCCTGTCTGGGGGGCCTCGCTTGAGATGCAGGCCTCGGGCGCCCGTCGTTCAAGGGGGGCGGCCCCGCAGCGAAAACGAACGCTTGCAGGGCCTTCCAGGGAGAAGGCCGTGGGAAGGGCGGGTGTCTTGCAGCATGGTTGAGAACGTGGGTTTGCTCTTGTCCTCCTCGATCTCCTCACGGGAGGCCTCCTCGATGGGGTCCGAGCAGATGGGGTCGGAGGATCGCGCCGCAGCACCATGCATCGGCGATGTCGGCGGTGCATCGGCGACGCCAGCGCGGAGCAAGTCAGGCTCCGCATCGAGCCGCTTCGGAGATGCATCGGCGATGCGGCGCGATCCTCCGAGCTCATTTGCTCGGACCCCACCTGGGAGGCCTAGAAAATTACCCTTGTCCTCATCGTCGTCCTCACCCTGCTCGTCCCAGCGAGGGGAAGGCGCAACGCAGACCAACAATGAGGGAAAACCGCTCGAAGATGGTCGGCAGGTGCGCCGCGACGGCGCTGCCGAATGCCTCGCGCCTCTCGCGCGCGGGCGCGCGCTAGCGCGCGGGCGTGGGGAAGCCGAGGCCGATCACGCTGGAAGGAGCTATTGCAGTCGGGGGATCGCGCCGCATCGGCGCGATGCGTCTGCGATGTCGGGAATCGGAGAAACCGGCTTCTCTGGGTGGGATATTAGTCGAGGGGTGGGCGACTAACCTTCAGACGGAGCTTGCCCATCCACCTCCCCTCTGCCACCTCCTCCTCCTCCTCCTCCTCCTCCTCCTCCTCCTCCTCCTCCTCCTCCTCTGTCTCTTCTGTCTCCTCCTCCTCCTCCTCCTCCTCCTCCTCCTCCAACCCCCCTCTACCCGCTCCGGCAGCACGTGCCAAATCCCCTCCGCGGATCCCAGGGGGAGCGATTATTGCCCCATCCAGAGCAGGCGCAGAAGGTGACCCCAGGCAATAGTGACTCCTTGGTGCGCAGGCTGCGACGCCACTCGACAGCAGTGGCCTCCGTGCTCGGATAACCTCCCCGCCCGCCGTGCCGCTCCCCCCAAAGCCGCGCACCAGAGATCACCACCGTGTAGCCGAAGAAGGTCGTGCTCGGGATCGCGCGCCGCGTCGCCGGTGATGCGTCGGCGATGCGGCGCGAGCCCCCCGACCTCATCCACCCTGGCCCCATTCCGTCGGCGTGGAGGGCAGCGGAGGAAGATCTGGATCATCCGACCCTCCTGGGGCCCTTCCCGGACCTGCCCTGACCTGTTAGGCGAGCCGCGCCAGCCGCGGCCACGAGAGGTCCCTCCGAGGCTCAAGAGTAGACAACACCTTCTCACAAAGCACCTCATCCCTCCATGTCTGGACGGAGGTCGTGGAACAGAGGGTGTGCCACAACGGCGCTGCATAATGTCTCGTCATACTCCTCTCGGCCATTGCGCGTATCCCTTTCTGCGAATCGAGCTGGGTGTAACGATACTATAATCGAGGTTGGGACCCAGAAGCGCATCTTCAAAGCTTGGGCCAGCCCTCTGACGCAAAGGAGTTGTGGAAAGAGGCTGGGGACATCCGTCAGGCTGGGGAAGCCCGCGGAGGGTGAAAAGGGAACGACTTACTAACAGACCAACCCGCAGCATCGAGACAGTGAGGGGTCGGAGGAGCAAATGGGCTGACGCGAAGGAGGCGGAGTGGACCTTCCAGGTGCGTCTCGAGCGCCTCGCAAGCATCGCTCGCACGGATGCGAGCCAAAGCGGCCCCGGAAACGCCTCAAACAAACCAGGTGAGCGACGATCAACAACGACCGCCAGCGCGCGGAGCGAAGACACCCAGGGTACCCTGACGATATATGGCTTCTTGATGCGCGCCCCCACGATCAAACGAATTCAGTCGTGGAAGAAAAACGCCATAAACTTGCGCTCTGCGCGGATTTCTTGGATCTGCACTGTACCCCCCTCCCTGGCACGCGGAGCGCGCCAGGGGGCGGCGCTGGAGGCGCCGCCAGGGGGCTCCAGCGCAGATCCAGGAGATCCGCGCGGAGCGTCACAAGGTCATGTTTGTGGCGTTGTTTCTTCTTCGCTCTAGGGGTAAGCCGATTCTGTAATCGATCCTCTACTCGTTCAACACTGCTCGTTCAACGCTCATTCGTGCGGGCGAAGGGAGGCCAGGGGAGGCCGGGGGAGGCCAGGGGAGGCCAGGACTGCCCGACACACAGGCCAGGGCAGGGGAGGCCCAGGGGAGGCCACGACGACGCGAAGAAGACGACACGACGCGACGACGAAGACGACGACGACGCACTGCGGATACCCCATGGGTAGGGGGTGCTGCGCAGGCCCGCTGTAGTCGACGACGGCGACGCGACGCGACGACGACGACGACGACGACGACAAAGCAGCTCGAAACCCTATAGAAAATATATTCGGGTATGCAAATATACACCGGACTCACTTCTATAGCGCTCACTTCTATAGTGCTCACTTTGAAATTGTGGTCCGGAAGGGGCCGCACATGCAGGCACATGCCGCACAGTCGCATGCACATGTCCATGCAAATATGCAAAAGCCTCAACAGCATTGCCGCACATGCGCGCACATGCCACACCGTCCGACGCACAGTCGAATGCACGGTCAAGGAAAACTCTGAAAGCATGGACGCACATGCCCGCACATGCCGCAGAGATGTCGCAGGCGATAGTGGCATGACCACCTGAGCTCGGGGCATTTCGCAACCGAGAGTTGCGAGGATGTCTCAGGCAAGCGTGGCCGGACCACCATGGGGCAGGGCATCTCGGAACCCAGAGTTGCGAGGGTCT